CTCTCTCTCTCTCTCTCTCTCTCTCTCTCTCTCTCTCTCTCTCTCTCTCTCTCTCTCTCTCTCTCTCTCTCTCTCTCTCTCTCTCTCTGTTGTCTGTCGTCCTCTGCAGTGTGACACGTGTCTGGTGGCGGTGGAACCTGTTCGAGAACGGGTGTACTGCAGTTAATCCTCCCATGGACCGGCCGGTGCAGGGCAATTGCAATCGGTGGTCGTCGTCGCCTGCATCATCTATGGAAGGTGCCATGCAAGACACCTCGCCGGCAACATCACACCAGCAAGGACCAGGGAACGATGACACGACTTCATTCGGCGCTGCAGCAACCGGGCCGAGCCACCCGGTCCAATTCCCTTTTTCTTTGCCGCCATTGCCCAAATGGAAGAACTTCAAGGCGCCCACGTTCCCGCCGGCGCCTCCAACACCGGCAACGTGGAGTACCCAGGTGGATGTCGGGCAAGGCGGAGTGACAAGCTTTTCTCCGCGAGCTCCCGCTGTCCCGCCACAAGGGAGTGCAAGACCGCAATCGATAACGGGGGGTCCATGTCTGTCGTGTGGGGCAGCCAGGTGGAGGTCGGGCAAGGCGGCGTGACGAGCTTCTCCCAGCGACCGTCTGCTGTTCCGGGGAGCAACCGATGGGGTATGACGCAGGCTGGGCAGAACTGTGCAGGATGGTCTACCCCGACTGCAGTTGGTGATGGTCATCGACAACAACCCGAGAAGGTCGGGGTGGGGGGAAGCAAGGGAGCGCCTTCCATGGAAGTCCAATTTGAACCTTCGATTGGGGATGGGTCGGTTGCCCATGGGCATGACCTTGGACCGTACTCGTCCATGTTACACAGCGGGGATAGTGGATCGACCATGCAGCCCGCACCGCGTTTCCAGACATCGCCAAACACGGGCGCCAAGGACATGGGTCCACCTTCGCAAGGAGGTGCCCAAGGACCTTACGGGAACACACACTGCGACGTAGGGGATGCGTGGATGGGTGGTGTGGCGGATATCGCAGGCACCCAATATAGAGGGTGTTCAAGTGCAGGTTCTGATGGGGAGTACAATGTGCAGGGCCGTTTTGACGTGTCCGACAATGATGGCAGCCAAAGGCGTGGACCGACATCAAAAGGAAAGGTCCGTGCACCGATAGCTGGAGGGTGCGGTGACGGGGACGCCGCGGCGCGAGGAAAGCCTCGTTCTCCTTATTGGAACACAAACGAGAGTTTGGGGCTGCTTCGCTACCTGTTCGAAGAGGATGCGCTGCAGCAGAAGAGGAAAGGAAGACAAAAGATGCGCACGAAGAAGGAGAAGTACGAGGGGATAATTCGCAAGCTCGTTGAGAAGGGATTCGAGGCTCGTACCGTGGATGAGTGCGAGTGCAAGTTCTATACTCTGCTAGACAACGGGAAGAAGATCCGCGACTTCCACTTGAGATCCGGTGAGCGGATCTATTGGAACATGGATCGGGTGTCGAGAAGGAAGGAGGGGTTGCCTGTGCTCTTTGACAAGCAGTTGTTTGAGGCTCTGCAGTGGAAACTGCGGAAGACCGAGGGGTCATGTGAAGGGGTGATGAATTCCGTACTCTATAATGAAGGAGGGACGAGAGTCGTGACAGACGACGAAGACACAGGCGGTGGGAGTCGTAGCCCTTCCCTGCGAAGGCGCGAGGGGAGCGACGGGGCCGAAGGGTCGAAGAACGCACGTTCAGAGGGAAGTGGTGGGACCGCTCGCCGCAACACATCGGGGTCATCGGTGGAAGGGAGCAGGGGGGGGACCTTTGCCGATGTTGCACATGCATTGGTGGAATCGAGTGACCGACAGGCCGATAAGTTGGCAGGCGGTTTTGCGAGTGTCATGGATGGCATCAACAACACCCTCGCACAGGGTAACACAACGCTTCTGCAATGTTTCACTATGCTGTCCGGGTCACTTTCGAGACGTCCTGCGGACAAGGGAGCGCAATGAGGGAAGGACCGTGCATTGCCCTGTTCTGGAGAGAGATACAGCACCGTTGTCAGAGACCGGTCCATGTGACTTATGTTGTGGTTTTTTGGAGTCCGAATTTTTCTACGTTGTGAGGGAAGTTGTGCGTGCGAGGCCAATCGAGAGCATCTAATTACATCGTGCATATGTGTGGTGGCCTGGTGGCATGGTTGCAGGCAATGTGAAGGCTGTTCTTGCCTCTGCTCGACCTATTAATATCGTCGACGCCTCTCCGAGAAGTCAAAAACGTCGTTGACATGGCGTGTGACTTTGCCCTTACCATAGACGTCTCATCGAGCAGGCAAACGAGCTGGCCAGGAAATGGGGTGTGCCGCATATTCGGTATGGTGGACGAGTTGAAAATATTACAGGGGGAGGTCAAGAGTTCCAACATGCGCGAGGCCATGACACTGTCCAGAGCAGAGGCCGCTGAAGCCAAGGTGGGGGTGCTGTGCGAGGAGGTGCAGCGCCTGCAGCTACTGCTGGCAGCCATCGACGATGGGGAGTTTGTGCGTGACACAGACAATTTTGTTAGCACATTGTCCAACCCGGTTTCTAGTGTCGTCGTGTTCGTTTCCCACTCGCCCCAAGAGAGCGCTCCTCGATCCCAGACACGCAGGCGCGTCCCTGCACCACCTGGCTGCATTCGAACCTCCCCGGGCGAGGACCCACCTAACTTGAACAGGCGGGATGTGAGTGCGGTCGCTGACCAGCTGCGCAGGGCGATATCGATTGAGCAGGAGCAGATGTCGGGGTCCGGTTTTGATGGCCAATTTTGCTGGTTACTCGCTGAGACGTTGTGACGCCCGTGCACGTATAACGATTGTCCGACATTTGTTTTTTTTATTTTTTATTCTCATATATGATTTGGATATGTGTTCTTGGTCTCGGTGATGGTGGGCCACGTCCATGTGGTTTTCCCCCGGTCGGATGCCAGACATCCGCCAACACTCGAGGTTGGGCCACCTCTTCCCGCCACTGGCCCGGTTGTTGGTCCTTTAGTTGTTGTTGTCATGGGTCGGCAGGAGGCTGTAGGCCTCGAAGTGATATCGTTTTTTTTTTTGGCACATGTCTGTCATCGTGAAACTCATGTAGCTGCGATGTCTGGTTCGTGTGGTGCCGTCCCAGTTTCTGGCATAGTCGATCCGTTGCTGCCGTGACTGTTGGTTGTCTGTCGTCCCATTTTTTAAAGGGGCTTGCTCGCCTATTGTCGTTCACGGTTGTCGGTGCTTCTCACTGGTTTTTTGTTTGTGTGTGTGTGTGTGTGTTTTTGTGCTATTTTTCGACGAAGGTCGAGGACGCGCCGATCTCGCGTCTGACACTTGAACTCGTGTGACGGGGTGTGGTTACGGTATACTTTTCAACGGATGGATGTTGAGGGTATACGTACTTTTGAACTCATGTGAAGTACGTTTTCTGCAAACTTTACAGTCACTATGTTTTTGGAATACGTCTACCTGCCACTCATTCTATGCATTGTCCATTCGAATAGCAGACACCGAAAACCAGACATCGAACAAGGTTCACACAATGAAAATGACACGTAACTGAAATGAAAGAGAGATACGCCGCAGGTCTCTTTGTCCATTGGACTCGCAATGTTATGCATAATAAGTTGTCAATTTGTTAATAACGTGTATTGGAACCGGGAGGGTGAACACATCATTGGGGTGTGCCATTCGAAATGCGTGTTGCCTGGTTGAATCAGAATTCTTGTAGTCGTAGGAATTGATATGCATTCGGACTGTAATCTGTGGTGGAACACTTCTGCCATGTGCAGCCCAGCCAGTACGTTTGAAACTAACCGGAAGTTTGGCAGCACGTTCGGTGGGCATAGATGAATATCAGGAAGGAAAAGGTGTTCTATGTCCAGGGTTTTTTTGGAATCATACAGCACAGAATTCACACAGCGGCGATATGAACAGACATCAACTAACAGGGACAAGCCAACTGATAGGTTCCGAAGACAGTTGGCGAAAATAGAAAGTGCAAACATACAGATCTCACACCTTCCTTGAAAATGGAAGTCCGTTGCAGGTACCCAGCATTGGTCCTCGCAGGGCAGCACAACAGGGCCCACCTTGCAGGGCAGCACAGCAGGGCCCACCACGGTTTTGTTTTTGTGCTCACCCTAAAAAAAACAACAAACGGCGGAATGCTGCAGACATAGCACAGGTTGTGGACCGCTCTTTGCAAGACAGCGCACCAGAGGTAGCACAGGGATGGCTCTCTCTCTCTCCTCACATGCTGAAGGGTCAGCGATAACATAAAACAACAGGACCCGAAAACCAAAAAACAACAACGGAAAAATTTCCTAGAATTAAATTATCATTCTGTAGTAAAATTACAATCTAAATTTTAAATTTTCATTCCATCTTAAAAAACGCCATTCCAATTTTAAAATTTTTCATTTTACTTGCAAACTTTCATTCCAAGAATAGGGTATCCCTTCTTATTTGGATTGCATGTTAGAGATGGAATGAAAGTCTGGATGAGTTCATGAAATATTTTAATTACTGTCATTCTAAGTAAGGATTTTCAGTCATAAATAGGTTAATCAAATCTAAATTAGGCCCTTCAAGTACGATCCTATACGGATCGCTTTTCACTTCTATGCAAGCGTGCAGGATTTGCTATTCTAGTCGACGAATGTGAAGCATGGCGACGACCCGATCTTCCTCCACCTGGCATACTTACCATGTTTGCACCCCTTCTTCCTGACAATGTTCAGCCCGCTCGAGCGCCCTTTCCACTGACAATCTCTGTTGCGAATCAGCCAAGACAACGATTTGCAAAGGCCCCCCTTCGGAATCGGTTGTGCTCGCCATTGGCGATGACTTGCCTAAACCTTGCGACGTGCCCCGCCGAAGGTGATACTTCACATGGAGAGGGGGATGCGAACTGGCAAGCTATGACGCATCCGAAAAAGGTGCGTGGTCGTGGTGTCCTTAATTCGGATGACGCTGTAGCGCTTCCCGGATAGGGTAATTTTAACACTCACAATGACCCGAGAGAGGCATTGGAGGTTGCTCGCGCGATGGAAGTACAAGGTATATCCATGAACTTCTCCCGGAAGTAGGGCCACATTGGCGCGAACGTCCGCGCGCGAGTTGGGAAAGAATCCCTGCCCATCGCTGAGCAGGCCGATAAAACCAATCCAGCGTGTGGGCGCTCCATCCCGAACCAATAATAATCGCTCCGCTCGTCGGATCTGCTCCTCGTCCGTAGTGTCGCGAATCTGCAGATATCTGGCCTGAGTAAGATCTCGCCATCCGCCGGACATCTGCACACCGAAAGAGCCGCCTGTTAGAAGAGGCACTTGTAGATTTCACAAGCCTCGTCATAAAACGCGGTGACGTCGAAACATTCCGAGCGAATGATATTAAATCTATTCGCTCGGACCCGTCTCACATGATGAAAAAGGCTGAATGGTCCTTGCAAATCGTTCAAATGGAGGAACATTCTCCTAACCTCAGGAATGTTCTCTACTCCCGGACAGTCCTTGTGAACCACAACTAGGTTCATGTCTCCGTAATCCCGTGATGGAGTAGGAGGCGCAAAATCATATCGCACAATACGCTGGTTTGGTTCAACCAAGAAAATATAATTCCGCGGTGGTTTCCTCACGCTCCCGTCCCAGAATCGTAGCGCAACCCGCTCCGGATAACTTTAAGTAGGTTGCATACCAGCCTTCCTTTCCGTATCATGTCGGCGAGGGATCGTGTTGGCACCGCTAACTGATTAGCCACCGCTTCGCGTGTGCTGAACAATTGGAGGATCACTGTCTCCACAAGCATCTGAACGACGAAGCGATAACTTTGTCAAAATAATTTTAGGTATACGAACTTCCATGTTCAATTTTCACTTCCCTTTTCGGGCCGTGATTCTTATGTAACGGTCCGACCGCGAAAGTAGTGCCTATTTGCACTTCTTTTAACTCTAGTTGAGCCACGGGCTGGGCTTCTTATGGCGCCGGCCCTCCCACGCGTTGGTGGCTCCTAAGGCGGCCACCCAACAGGGTACTAGATTCAGCCTCCCCTTTTCCTGAAAGCACGAGGAGGCGACGGCTCCTCGCTTTAAGACACCCTACCCTCTAGGAAGTGGTTTGAAATACCCCTCCCCCTCGCCCGAACACATTGTTCAGGACTCAGAAGTTGGGTTGGCTCCACCGCAACAGCATGGTATCCCCCCGCATAAGCGGTCCGCTCCGAGTCGATAACAGGGCCGGCCCCTAAGGCAACGAATCCCCGCCTCAGATACCTCCTAGAGAGAGGAAGCCTAGCCCCTAGGTGCAGGCGACCGCTCTATGCCCTCCCGCGCTAAGGGTCGACTTAGACAAATTAAGAAGAGAAAGAAGTAAAATATTTTTAGACGGGCATAGAAGGATAATGGTCGTTCGGGATAGAATGGGGAAGTTCTTGGGAAGATACTAAGGTGTTCCCTTGTATTCTCTTCTTTTAATTTTCCCACGGCCTTCGTTCTTCCGGCACCCATCCGTTCGCACTCCCGTTATTATTTTTGTTCCTCCTCTTTTCCGTCACATGCATTCAGGTTGAGTGGGAGAGAGGTAAGCATCCCCATTATTATCTCGAGCAAACAATGTTGATCCCTCCTCACATGCATCMCCCAACCTACCTGCACAACCAMGAAAAGAAACAATCAARAGATTTATYCATCCCTCAAACAGGTCAGCSYTTTCTCCACACGCATGACATCACACTCTCACTCTACCCTTTCCCCTGAATTCAAAGCAAGGTCATGCAAGGTGTGGGTTCACGCGGGTGTGCAAAGGAACTGAGTCGCACTGACCTTGAGTGAATTTTATGA